TAAACCTAAAAAGACTTATTATATATACTACTGTGTTCGCCCATACGATGCACGGAATGAATTTTTTGTAATATATTAAGAATATTTGGATTGATATATAATTATATATATATATATATATATATATATATATATATATATATATATATATATATATATATATATTACTGTGTATTCAAACTTTTTTTTGAAAGCAACTCTGTATTCTAACTTAAAATAGCAAAATTAAATCAATTTTTATTAGAAATTTAAAATTCAATTAGAATACGTACGTCAACACAAAGAGATAGAGATTAGAGATCGGTGAAGTGATAGACTCACTATATATAGTGCACCGATCCGTATTAAAGCCAGCCGGAGTTTCGGTTGTCCTTAGTATAAAGAAATGAATATTATTAATTTTTTGGCTCTGATAATTGTCAACAACAAGGATGGAAATATAAAATGAATAATTATTGTATCATCAATGAAGTGGAAATGATGATATAATGGATTAAACAAAAGCTAGTTAACCCTCAACTCCCAAGAACCGGACATGGTGGTGATATAAGCAAAGCGTGACTCCCTCGTTTGAATCCACGTCAATCCCTTCAACCCATTCCTACCCCATTTCCAGCTACCAACCATTTCCAAACACACATCATATATATATATATATATATATATATATATATATATATATATATATATATATATATATATAGGGTTGAGTTCAAATGAGGACAACAATATATAGAGGACTGTGAGGACAAATAATCGGCACACAACAAATTAATACCTGGCACACAACTTAATACATAACGGCACTCAAGAATAAATGTAAACATCATGTTTCGAACCCAGGCTCTATAAATTAATAAATCTAGCATGCGGCATACAAACTGTGGCACACGACTACATTCGGCCGTGCACACGACATACCGGCTAATGCACACACTACATCTGTCCTCACAGTCCTCTATAATATACTTGTCCTCATTTGAATACACACACACACACACACACACACACACACACACACACACACACACACACACATATATATATATATATATACAAACTGTGGCACACGACTACATTCGGCCGTGCACACGACATACCGGCTAATGCACACATTACATCTGTCCTCAGAGTCCTCTATAATATACTTGTCCTCATTTGAATACACACACACACACACACACACACACACACACACACACACACACATATATATATATATATATGGATGAGATCTGGTGCGAAGAGTCTCCTAAAGAAAACATGTTGCGGTGAGATATGAGCCGTTTGATCAAATCTAGATCAATTCAAATCAATGAAAATTTTAAAAAATGGTGCACCTTGAAAGGCAGCTAAGTGTAAAAATGACGCATTTTAAGTGTTACAAAGACGCACCTCAAGTGTTAGAATGACGCACCTTAAGTGTTAAAATGACGTACTTTAAGCGTCAAAATGGCGCAGTTAAAAATGGCACACCTTAAGTGTTACAAAGACACACATTAAGTGATAAAATTACGCACTTAAGTGTTAAAATAGCGCACCTTAAGTGTATAATTGAGACACCTTAAATGTTAAAATGACGCACTTCAAGTGTTAAAATAACACACGATAAACTTTGAAAATATGTACCTTAAGGTTTAGATTTACGTACCTTAAGTTTCAAAATAGCGCACCTTAAGTTCTTGAGTGTTAAAATGGTGCACTTAAGTGTTAAAATGACGCACCTTAAGTTATTAAAATATGCACCTTAAGCTTTCAACAATACGCAAAATTACCATAATGTCACCTATTTTTTAAAATAGTGTTCAACCTGGACAGTTAATTTTGGCAAAATCAAAGACTATCATTCACCCGCATGTTTCACCTAGACACCTCATCTGCATTTGATTTCTATATATATATATATATATATATATATATATATATATATATATATATATATATATATATATATATATATATATATATATATATACATACTAGTATTTGCCCCGTGCGATGCACGGATAAAAATTTATAAGTATTGCTGTAAGACACAATATAAATACACACAATCTAATACAAGAATACACACAAACTAGAATCTGTGCAAAGCGTGACTCCCTCGTTTGAATCCACGTCAATCCCTTCAATTCATTCCTACCCCATTTCCATCTACCATCCGTTTCCAAAATCACATCGTCATATATATATATATATATATATATATATATATATATATATATATATATATATATATATATATATATATATACACAGACACACAGATACATATATACACGCACACGGATCAAATGCTTACAGAGTCCTCAGGTAAAAAGTGAGGACTGATCTTAACCGTCCATCAAGATTAGTCAATGATTGAGGGTATTAGTAAAAAAACAAGTCAATTTTATAATTATTGAAAATTTTTAAGAGCGAGTATTTATTTTATAATTATTACAAACCTCAAAGTTTAGTAACAATATTATCTTAGCCTTTGATTTCTCGGTGTGCATGTGTCCAAGGTTTTTACATTGGAGATGTCACGTGAACCCTCCCATATGTGTGTGTGTAGAGGGCGAGTTAGTTCTATAAATATTGCAAACTTGAAAATTTATAATAATTATAAAATTGATTCCGTGTTTTTTTACTAAAATCCCCAATCATGATGAACATATGAAGTCAATCTTCATTTTTTAATGCAGGGGTTGTTCTCACTTGAACACACCCTTATTTATGTGTGTGTGTGTGTGCGCGCGCGCGGGGGGACAGAAACAATATAATAGGTGTCAATTTAGAATTACCAACATCTCTAAAGTATGAAAAACGTAGTGATAATTTTGTAAATATTATAAATTTTTAAGTACTAAATATGCACCACGCACAATTGTAAAAAAACATCAAACAAAATTATAGAGTAAATCCGATAATAGATATACTAAAAGTTCTCAACATCTATCTATAATTCTAAAATAGCATTTAATATGCTCCAATTCTAAGATGATTCTATGTTTTTTCTATATACACTTACATGTTTATGCACATAAATAGTTTTTTTTTTTTTTTTTGTCTCATTTTATGTGTCATAGATGTATTTAACAAGTTGATTAACTAAATTTTTACTAGTTTTAGCCATCAATAAATACTCAATTGTATTTATTAGTTGTCTTATTCTATATGATACATCCGTTGTTTTTAGTTAATTTTAGTCAAACTTCAAAGTTTCATAAAACAAAACACACGAGTGGCAAAAGGCTCCAAACCTTTAAAACTTATAATAATTATATCTAAACTTAAAACAAATACCGATTTTAGTTGTTTAATTATGTCCTTAATAATTATTATATATTCGATCTTTAATTATTTCTCCATCCATTTGAAAGTACATTATATTGTTTGATATAAATTCATCCAATTTAAAGGTTTTATTATAATCATTATGCGTAATCAAACATAACTACATATTTGGTAATTTTTTTAATATTACTAATTCTATTAGAATTTAGTATCTGTTCATAACTACTTTATCAACCAAATGAAGCACAAAGAGCCATTATCGTTTCCACTAAAACTCAAACTCACAACCTCCCTTAAGAGGGAGCAACTTGGTGCCATTAGACTAAAGGTCCTTGGCCACATATTTGGTATTAAATCACTGACAGGGTGTTTGGTTGGAGGGAATTTAAATTTCATTCCCACTTAATTCTCACCTAATTCCAAAGGCCACTAAATTCCTTAGTTTGGTTGGAAGTAATTGCAATTCCCATTTTTATGGAATTAAAATCCCATGCCCCCTTGAGATTTTAATTTCATGGATTTTAGGAAGAAAAAAGGATAATGATGAAACAAAATTACTCCTCTCATTTTTTAACCTAAAATTGATGCCTGACAACAACAATGGATATTTTGGACTTTATACTACTTATTCCCTTTCAATTCTCATATATACCGAATTGAAATTCCCAGTAATTTTATTCATGTAAACTAAACACTATAATTTAAATTTCTACTTTATTCCCAGTAATTCATCTCCCATAGAATTGCAATTCCTTTTTCACGTAATTCCTTCCTATCAACCAAACGCTACTTGAGTTTTAAATTTTTGAATATAAAAGCTTGACGTTTTTTTTACTTTTTTCCAAACAATAAGCCAATCGTAATATATACTCTTTTGTCTCATTTATTATTATTATTATTATTATTTTGGTGATAAGTGATTCAAAATCACTACTTAAGAGTGTGCACTAGATAAATTGCACTAGGAGGACTTTATTTGATTGACTAGACTGAGATGGTGTTGACAAAAATAATAAAAGTAAACTATACTACGAAGACATTGTGTGACGATCTCGACTAAGAAGGTATTAGTAAGAATCAAACTTATGATCGTCGTATAGACCTTTAATTTTTTTTATTTTTTTTTATTGAGAACTAAACTTCTCCTACTTAAATTCATTACATTTTAAATAGCTTTTAAAAAAAAAAATTAAAATTCATTTTGAATATAGTAAATTACTTAAATTCCCCTCGGTTGTAATGCTTTTATCACTTTGGTTATTGACTTCTAATTTCATTCAATAATATCACTGAATATCAAATTTGTTTGAGATACTATTTCATTCAAATCTTTTAGCTATTTTAAGCATTTAAATGACTAAAATATGTACAAATTTTAGCTATTTTATGACCTTGTGATCTAGTGACACGGAATGACTCTCCTGAATGAGAGATCATGAGTTTGAGCCTAATAATAAGAGATTGAGTCTCCTTGTATTTCAGTAGATTGAGAAAGAAACTATGGACATATACATTATAAAATAGAGTAAATAGCACAAAAAAAAAAAAAAAAATTATGAAACGAATTTGGAAATCAATCAGTATAATTGAAAGACCATATTAGTAATTTAGCATTTGGAATATTATATTGATATTGTCACATTGTTCACCTTTCCGGCCTTCTTTATATAAATTTGTAAGTTCATGCAAGAATCCTGACAGAATATACATTTCAACTCCAACAACTCTCTCTATCTCTCTAGCTATGTGATCTGAATCAGCTCTGTATATTCTTCTCTCTTCTTTTAGTTTCGCGGTGTTTTATCTGTTGTAGCCATGGAGGACGTGATTAGTTGCAGCAGCAGTAATGACTACAGGCCACCGCCGCCGTACGAGGCGGCGGGGCCGAGTCAGACTACTCGGCGGAGGAGAGGCAAGGTGGAGGTGTTCCATGAGGTGCTTAGGAGGCTCAGGGAGTCCTGTAACGAGGAGGCGAGTCAACCCGGTTTCGAGGACGAGTTGTGGACTCACTTCTCTAAGCTCCCTCTCAGGTACCTCTGCATTTTTTTTTTTTTTTTTTTTTTTGGGGTCTTTTACACAGGTGTCAAAACCCCAGCCCTAGCTCTTGTTTGGGTTTTTGGTTAGTTAATTAAATTGATTTTAGTGAATTATCTTCAAATTTCTCCATTGACTTGTGTGTTTTATGTGGGTGGGGGGTGGAGGGTGGAGGGTGGGGGAGTATATACATACATGTGTGTACTTATCTATGTGCTTTGTTTTTGAGGTTCTTGTTTTTTGGGTACCGGGTAAATCTCGCATTGTAATCTTAGCCACAATCGACGAAGAATAAGGAGGTAAACCAGCTTAGGTTGTCAATAGCTCAGTTTGAGCAAGAAGGTTAATAGGTTGTTCCTAGTTGAGCTTGGAATCTTTTGGAATCTTATGATTACCAGGTCAACAGCCCGATCAGTTTGGATGGGCTACCCAAAATTGGGGTTCTTTGTTTACATGATCAGTGGTATGTAAGAGGTATAGCTTGAATGATGATGGTATGGTGTATTTCTGGGGAAAAGAAGCTAAAAAGATTGCATCTTTAGGATAACTTACTTGCCAATTTCTTGAGATATGTCTAATTGATTAGATGTTTCCCACTTTTGGTGGAACTTTGATACAAGAATATGGTGGATTTTAATTTCCAGTTGGCAGGCATCATTGATAGTTATCTGATGAATTGTTGTTGTTAGGTATGCGTTGGATGTGAATACCGAGAGGGCACAAGACGTAATTATGCACAAGACGTTGTTGCATTTGGCACGAAATCGAAGAACCAGACCAGCGATCGAAGCTCGTCTCGTGCAGGTAGTATATGAAAACCGGTTCGTTGCTCCTTATTGGGGATTGGGATTAGTTTTAAGCTCCAAAAGTCAAATGATTTGGGGATAGCTATCCTCATTTCTTTCTAGTTTCTACCCGTCATTATAACGTTCATGTAGAGATTGTTGATAATCGTGTTAGTTTCAGCATAATTGGATGGTCACTTGATGGATTTATATGCTGACTCTCGAGAATTCCTCTCTGCTATTCAGATGCATCCCGTCTCTGATGCAAATTACGGGGACTCTGTTCATGGCTCCTCCTTAGCGGGAGGGGCTGCCCAAGGTATTGATGACAATGGCAGGTAGAGGCTTAAAGATTCCAAGAACTTTGTTCTCTTATTTTAAGTTAGTAGCGTATTATGGGAACATTACCAAACAGAACTTATAACTTATTAGTAGCTTAAAATAAACTATAAGCTCTACCAAACAGAGCCTTTATTTCCGTTGTTTTTAACCTTTGATTTTCAGCAGTCATCCTCCACTTGCCTTTGGTTTGACACTCAACTTAGGACTCGCCTTGGATGCCAATAAACCGTTTGTTGAAGATGGAAATAGTGCCGTGAGTGGACACTCCCGCTTATTTCGGTAATATTCTGAAAGGTTTGCTTCCGATTTAGATTACGTTTTTTTCAGTATGGTAATATATGCCACTCTGTAGACTGTCTTTGCGTGCAAGTCTCGAGTCTTCCCATCGCTATTAAACGACACGAGACCTATCCCCGCCTCGTCTTTCCCCCGCTGTTTTTTGTTTTTGCAGGAATATGCACGAGATTACGATTTCTACACTAGACAAGCCAAAGCTCCTTAGTCAGGTGGAGTTTTCTACATTCGTTTTTTTTTTTTTTTTCCGGGATTTTTGGTACGTTCTTAGTTAGTAAAGCTGATCTGATTTTCGTTTCAGTTGACTTCGTTACTTTCCAAGAATGGGTTGAACATTCAAGAAGCTCACGCCTTTTCGACGACAGATGGTTACTCCTTGGATGTCTTTGTTGTAGATGGCTGGGAGCATGAGGTACTTTTTTGCTAAATTTCAAATCGGGGAAGAAAATTTACTCGTTCGAATATAAGAAGAGAAATTGCGTTGCACATTTGCTGGCAGTTTTCCCGTATTGGTCTTCCAGATCGAAGCTCAAAATTTGCAAATTTTTCGTTATAAAGTCTTTCTTGTGTACAACTTGTAACGTTACCGAATACTTTTTAAGGCAATATTTTCTTTGCAAACCGCTAGGAAATTGATCAACTAAAAGATTCTATGGTGGCTGAAATTCAAGAGTTCGAGGTAAGCAACGGGGAGGCCTACCATTGATTTATTATCCTTTTCTCTCTCTCACTCGCTCTCGGGTCTTAAATTTTCGAGGATAATGCAGAACCAGTCTGTGTCGAGACGAGATCTTATATCTCGTGATGTGGAGTTGGACCGCCTTAAACCCCGCTCCGAGGTTGCCCCCGATGCAACTGATGTCTGGGAAATTGACCCCAAACTGCTGAAATTCGAAAGAAAGATTACATGCGGAGATGTGTCAGTCACGAATCTCTATCAAATCTGCAACTTTATGTTCTCGAAACGCCTTCCTAATTGACGATTTTATCGACAGGTATAAAGGCACGTTCCGCAGTCAGGACGTGGCTATCAAGGTCCTCCGGGCCGAGTTGTTAAATGAAGATACACAGAGAGATTTCGCACAAGAAATCTACATATTAAGGTCAATTGCGATTCCCGTGTTTCCATTCCGCTATTATATTGATAGCATTCATGATACTTTTACAAAAAATGGCTTCGTTTACTTCAATTTGTCTGATGTAGCCATGTACTGTTTATGCTTCAGAAAAGTTCGCCACAAAAACGTTGTCCAGTTTATTGGTGCATGTACGAGACCTCCGCTACTATGTATTGTCACAGGTATAAAACGTCTTTTATTGAGTTGTGTCTTTCTAGGAATTTTATTTAGTAAAGATGCATCCCGCAATTGCTAATTCCCTTCATGTTATATACCCAAAAAGATTGTTTCCTTAGCATTTTTAGTAAGAAAATCATGTCGGGTATGTTTCTTTTCTAAATTAGAACTGCAATCAAAATAATGGTAATGAAATTAATAAGAAATTTGCACTTTTCATGCAAAAAAGAATAACTTGTTAAAACAAACATCATTCCCCAAGGTGGACCGAACAGGCTAAAAAATTAAATCTAATCAATTAGTTAGTCTAACCCATGACCTTATAAACCCATATATCCTCTCTTATTTTATCAATGTGGGACTCTTAACAATAATTAAGTACTGTCAATATTAAAACCTTTGTTCTGTACTTTCATCTTTTCAGAATATATGTCTGGTGGAAGTGTGTACGATTTCCTGCATAAACAGAAGGTAGTTTTCAAGCTCCCGGCCATTCTGAAACTCGCGATTGATGTTTCAAAGGGGATGAGCTACTTGCACGGAAACAAGATAATTCACAGGGACCTCAAGGCTGCGAATCTCTTATTGGATGAAAATCTGGCAAGTGATGATTCCCGCTTGTTACGAATCCGTTTCTTGCTTTCTGAAGTTCGTATATTTTAATTTAGCGGGATGAGCAGGTTGTGAAGATAGCCGATTTTGGTATAGCTAGACTGCAAGTTGAATCCGGGGTTATGACCGCCGAAACGGGAACTTATCGCTGGATGGCCCCCGAGGTGCGACGAATTCTCTCTTTGTTTTGCTAATAAATGAACTTCGTATCCTAAAAGGAAAATATTGGGTTCTGCATACCATAACCATGCTTAATGTTCTTCTGTTCTCGTTTTTTTGAAGGTTATTGGCCATCGACCATATGACCATAAGGCCGATGTTTTCAGCTTTGGGATTTTAATGTGGGAGCTGCTAACTAGAAAGGTTCTGCTTTTTTTTTTTTTATAGTACTACTGACTCTGTTACAATGCAGTATCTGTTCATAACTACTTTCTCTAGCTGAGCTTATAATCTCGTTTTGGTTTTCGTTGATCTTTCAGATCCCATACGAGAATTTAACTCCCTTGCAAGCTGCACTTGGTGTGTCTCAAAAGGTATATTTTTGGTCATTTCTGTCTCCTAATCTCCTCTAGGATTGATTCTCGCTTAAAGGCGAGTTCTCGTTCCCTTTAGTTCCCCCGGGGAATGATTATGATTACCCTCGAATACTAGACGTCTTTATCTGGCATAACCAACAGGGTCTTCGGCCTAAAATCCCTGAGGGCACTCATCCAATGCTAGCGGACTTGCTCAAGAGATGTTGGGACCAAGATCCATTGTTGAGGCCCGAGTTTTGTGATATCACCGAAGACCTGCAGCGCATTTCCAACGTGGTATGAACGAATCTTCGATCCAACCTCTTTCTACTACCTATCGTTGCCTTCCCGAGGCATCTGATACCTTCTCGTTTTCTCCCACGAACAGGTTGCGGAGCAAGAGAGGAACGGCAAAAGAAGAAACCTCGAAGAACCACACAACAAGGTCCGAGGTAAATTGACAATGAAAGCAGGGTGAAAGCGCATTATTTTTTCGAACTGCAATAAGTTGATCAACAACAACAACCATACCGGTTACTATATTTTGCAACAAGTTTTATAGAGAAAAAGCGAAATAGTTTCGAGATAGCTAACAAAGGTATAGAGCCTTGAAGACAAGTTAGTGCCATAGCCAATAGTTTTCGAATGCCTTTCTTTAGGACAAATGCTGGCTTTGTATATATAGTCTTTGTATGTTATCTTATGCCTCCTTTTCAACAGACTATCCAGTGGTTTAAAGTAATGTTTGTACATATTTGATATTTCTTCTATGTAGTTCTTTTACATTTACCATGGTGTGGGGAATAAAATGGCATGTTTTTTGTTTTTTGTTTTTCCTCTCTTAATTACTGGTCTCGGGTTTGAGTCCCGGGAATGCAACTTCCCTTTAAACCCATGAGAGAATGAGTGCTCTGTTACCTTTTGAGGTCCTACTCAACAGAACACGGACATCATTAGTCTCGATTTAGCAATCGCCATTCACAAACTATATGGTGTTTTCAATCTTTTCTATTGGGTGCTGTAAAAGATTTTGACCTGACACTAATTAAAATGCTAACTCAAACATATTAGAGAATAGAGATAGTCCATAAATAATTACAATAGGTAAATTAATCTAAGTTGCTCGTTTGTCCATAATTAATTGACTCAAACTAAGCAGGTCAATAGATCGCTCTCGTTGAGAGTTAAACTGTATTTAAATCTCATCAACTTGTCCAGGCCATGAGGTAAATGGGTTTAACATTATTCGACAGTTATTAATTGTACATAATCCTTTCAACAAAACAAAAAATGTACATAATCATTTTATGCATGAGTCCAATATTGGGTTAATGATTCAATATTATTTATACCAAAATTATATAGAAGAGAATTTTGAGAATGTAAAAAATGGAAATGATTTCAAATATTATGAGTTGTACTCTATGTTTAATGTTGTATTCATATGACATTTCTATCCTTGCCTACAAAATATGAAATTCTCTCACTCTTGGATCCGCATACTTCGGCGTGACAAAATAGTAAATAGATAAATTATGGTGACTTAATAGTCATTAGATGAGAGGACCAGTGTCTGGTGTTCACAAAGAGTTCACCACAAAACTCCACACTACAGCAACTTTTCAATCGTTATATCGTGCACTAGGGCGCACAATGCATTGTGCGCCCCGCCCTCCCAAAACGACGTCGTTTTGTTAAGTTGTGTTGGGAGTTGACGCGACGGAGTGTATACGTATTCTGTTATACAATTATGTACATTCAAAACAGGGGATTTTTTTAAGAGTTAAGAGTTTGTGTATTATGTATTATGTTAGATTATGTGTATTATCCTTTCAAAAGATTGTATGTGTATTCTGTTAACAATTATGTACATTCTATTATACAATTATATACATTTTATTATACAATTATGTACATTCGAAAAGTGAATTTTTTTTTTAAGAGTTAAAAGCAGACACAAGAAACAAAATTTTAAAAAAAAAAAAGAAAAAGAAAATGAAAGGTACAAAACGACGTCGTTTAGGGTTAAAATGCACAATGTATTGTGTGCCCTGGTGCACGATATAATTTGCCGCAACTTTTGTACCCCTTGATCACTTCTTCTCCATTTTTATTTATTTATTTATTTATTTATTTATTTATTTTTGACAACAAAAAGGAGAACGACTTTATTGGTTCAAAACTGGAAGAAGAATAATACAATAAGGGGAACTTGATCACTTCTAATTAATTGCTTTAGAGGTACCATTAAGATAATAAAATTAATTAATCAATTAATGCAAAGTCCTACCCTCTAATTTATAAACTTTTAGTAATTAAGTGCATACCACTACCAGGACTATATGGTCCAATGGTATTCGGGTTGGACTTCCATTTGGAAGATTATGAGTTCGAGCCTCAGTGGAGGCGTTATTGGTTCTCTGTGTTTCAGTAGGTTGAGAAAGTATATGAACAGATACTACAATGTAATAGAACCAGTAGCATTCAAAAAAAAAAAAAAAAAGTGCATACCACTAAATTCTTTTTATTGGTACGAGTACGGATTGATAAATAAATACACTCAATTAATGATAGTACTATAACAAATAATTACAATTACATCTAACCAAGAATTCATTGGTCATGGGGTGGTAACATAAATTTCGGTATAGAGAGTGTATTTGGTAAATAGCTTATTAGCTAGTTTTTTATTGAATTGACCAACTTTAACAAAAAAAACACCACACTTTGTGGTTAGTGAATTGTTACTTGTGCCTTAAACAAGTCAAATTTATAAAAATTTGTAATTTATGCCTTTTTGTTATAAATCAATTTTAAATGTTATCTTTTAATTCTAAATGATATAAATGTTGTCCCTAAATTGTCTGAACGTGTGTGTATATATTATCTATCTTCGTTATAAATGTTGCTCTTAAATTTTAAATTGTTTGAATGTGGATGTGCAATATATACACACTTTCAAGCATTTCAAGAGTAATATTTATATCACTTAAAATTGAGAGGTGACATTCATAAATAACCTATGAGAGAAAGTCATAAATTACAATTTTCTCTCAAATTTATCATCATATCAGATGATTTTCTCCCTAACAATTTTAATGTTTCCAACAAAAGTTATGTTTGTTTGCTCTTGACTTATGAAATTAATGAACCATATAACTCATACATTGACTAAGACCCATTTTTGATAACATAGTTAGTTTATCAATCAATTTTGGTTTATTTGACTACTACTAGTTGTTGGACTTAATTAAATAATCAACATGAATGTTTGATTAATTAGTTTTTTGTAATAGTTTATTATTTCAAAATATTAAAATTCAAAAAACTGCTCAAAGCAGCTTTCTCGACCAGTTTTTGAGAAAGTCATTTTGCATGTAATTAGCTATCAGCTAATTTACCAAATATTTGTCTAGAATAAACTAATGCTATCAACCACTAACCCAATCAATTATCAACTATTTATACTCACACGGGCTTAGCTCAACAGTGTAGTGGGCAGTATTGGAGAGAAGAGACCAAGGTTCAAACCTCGGTGGTGACAGTGTGGGAATTATCAAACTCGGAATTATCAAACTCTAACAGAGAAATAATTATTATTACTTCAATATGTATAAAGAGATAGTACATTATAATAGAGTTAGTAGTACTAAAAAAAAATACTTCTTTTTGTAATAGACATGATTTTTTTTAAAGTTTTTTTGAAAATAGACTTGATTCCTTTGTAGTAATAATATTTCGTTTGTTTTTGTCAAAAAAAAAAAAAAAAAGAAGCTAAAAATGGAATTTATTCTTTATTTTATACTCCGTATCAAACAACTTTCTAGAATTGAGGAAATAGGTAAACCCCAAAATCTATTGATGCAGTTGTTCTAATAAGCTAATTCCGATTTCCGAGTATAACCTATTCCCGCTAAACCCCAAACCCAACTCCTCTACCTTTCTACAAACCCTCGACACATAGCGTTAGAGCCCCCTTCTGTTTTCTCCTTCTCCGGGAGCCTCACAAACGGACGCGTCAGCTCCTCCGACGAACACTTGTGCTCCGCCGCCGGGGAGTTTGAATTCGACAGCTACTCAAAAGAAGAATAACGACGATGCTATTCATCAATACAGGTACAAGTATGTTTTCCATGTCACTTCACTTTTGTCTCAATGGTTGCTCCACCAGCACACTCAATTAGATTACTTAGGTCATTTTCTGTTCTGAATTGTATTTTCTGTAGTTCAAATTTCATTCTACTGCTTCAAATAATGCTTTGCCGGCCTCTCAGGAGTCAGGACCATGTTTGTTTGAGGTTCCGTGCTTTCGTATCTGTTTGTATTCCATGTTTTTCTCTTGAGTTCCCAGTTTTCACTACTGCGGCGCTCTGTTAGTTTGTTTCGTAGAATTTTCTGTACCAGTACTGCACTGCTGCAATGCTTTCAGAATCATCGTTAATCACTTAAGTTCTCATACGATCATGTCATGTTATCCGTTTCCTTTGCTTGCATTTGAGTTTTTGTGTGTAATTGGCCAATTTGGTTATATATGGATGCTAGCAAATGGTCAGTTAAACTGAGAACTACACTTCACTAACTGTACTGACTGAAAATTCTAGTTATTGGTTATTCTGGTTAGAATTTTTTTTTTTTTTTTTTGGTTATTTGGATTGGTATTTTAGTTATAAATATATGAACACTGGACCTAGTAAATAATCAGGCATATATTCAACCCAAGGTTAAGAACAAATGTACAATTCTACTCATGTATATGAGTATATCCATTATTATCCAAGTAGCCCAAGCCAGCAAGCGCATTCAGCCATTTGTTAAAGATTACTGTAAAATAGTTCACTGAAACCCTAGACATTTATGAAGGCTTGAAGACATGAAGGCAGAAGCCACCCTGCACCCCACACCCCTTCCCGTGCGTCTGAACTGACACTCTGAAGTTCAAAATCCAAACAGCAGGAATCATCAAATCCAGGTGAGCTATTAGTTTATTATGTATGGAATCATGGGTTTTAATCTAACTTCAGAATGCCCCCCTGCCCAAATAATATTCTTCCATTGGTAACAGATATCATATATGATTTATGTAGTTTTTCCATGACTTCATTTTTGTTCTGTTGTTTGTGCATTATCTTTTTTTTTTTTTGCCCCCCCAACCCCCTCCATTTTCTCACCGTTCCTTGTTGTATTTCCCAATTACAGATGGCTAGATGGGATGAGATTTTGTCCCTCCCTGTACAGAACCCTCCAACACTGGAATTCTCTTCCTCTGACATTGTGTGGTCTAAGGTAGAAGGTTGGCGTGATAACATAGACAGAGTTGCTCTAATTCCATATGCCAGAGTAGATGACTTTGTTCGGGGTGAATCTGCTAATAAAGAATGTCCAACCAAATTCCATGTTGAAGCTAGGAGAAGGAGGACTGCACAAACATCTTACAAGCCTAAAGTTGATGGGATCCTTGAGTACATACTGTAAGGTTTAGCTTTTGTACTTCTGTTTTGATTAATTATTATTGTCTGCTTCATGTAAGTCATATTGAACTGCTTTCATTTAATCTTAGGTACTGGTGCTCCTTTGGACCGGATGACCATAGGAAAGGAGGTGTTGTTCGACCAAGCAGAACCACATATGTCCCTAAGAAAAAATCTGCTGGCCGTCCAAATACAAAGAGAGGGTGCACATGCCACTTTATTGTTAAGCGTTTGATTGCTGAGCCATCAGTAGCACTTATCATATATAACCAAGATAAACATGTGGATAAGAAAGGGTTGCCATGCCATGGTCCACAGGAC